AAGTCTGCTCTCCTGAAATCCAAGGTAGCGAGCTTGCTGGGCACCCTCCTTGCTTCCCTAAGAATCTTGAATTCCACCATTTCATGATCACTGCAGCCCAGGCTGTCCTCGAGTGTTATTTTCACAAGGAAATGTTAATTCCATTACACTCTATTGACAGCTCAGCACTCTAATGACTGTCATATACCTGAGGTTCTACTGAATTCTCTCTCACACAAAATGTTATGTTTTTCCCATATGACAGTTCCTCTAAAACTATGTTATATATATATATATATATATATATACATAAACTAGCAATGTATGTTAACCTTTCTCTGCTAGTAACTTAAGAGCAATCTTAAAAGCAGTTGTAAGGATGCTGAAGTAAGAAGCCATGAAAACAGACAAACCTAAAGGAACAGGGAAAAAATTAAAAATCTTCATCACATAGGTATATAACATATACTTAGGATAAATAGTATACAGTTCAGACTAGATGAATAATCATAGCCACAAAGGAAAGATTCCTTTCCTTCCACTAGAGAACATTTTGATTATTTCTAATCCATAAGGAACCAAGAACAGACAGACACAGGAGAGAAAAAGGAAAGACTCGAAAAGAAGAAAGCATAGAAAAGTCTAATTGTGTGAGATTAGCTGGAAGTCTAATAACAGACTACTAGTGTGCCTATTATTTCCAGACCCAAAACTTGGTAGCCACTGTAATACATGAAGTAGTCAAGTCATGTATGCAGTAGTACGTGTCAAGTCTTACGTTATTTTATCCCATCTAAGGAACTAAGAAAAAAGTGAACGCATTTGTCCCTTCAAAGTGATTTCAATACTGTGGTACCTTCAGTTCTCAGAGCTGAAGATGTGAAGGACTGCAAAAAATAGGCTGCTGAAAACTCAATGATATTCTTTACGAATAGTAATGATGGTGTCAAAGATGCTTTCTAGATTTAGTAAGAAAGCATAGTAATATGCTTTTTACATCCATATATTTCCAAATAAGTGATAAAAACGTATAAATAAGAAATAGAAGGCCAAGATTCATCAATTGCAATATCCCTGTGAATGTTATTGTGAGTTTCTTAACTGAATTTAAAGCATTTCTTCTCTCTCAGCTAGCACAATGACTGCTTCTCTACCTTTAATTGCTAAATTGAAGCTGATTTAAATGAAATGCTCACATTTGTACATTACATTGATGTGTACATTTAAAGTTATATTTCATCAGGAGCTTAATATGAAAGTAGTGATTAAAAATATTCTACATATAAATTTAAAAAGAATCGGAAACATTATCCCTATATTCTTTAGATTAGAATTGCAAATTGTCTTCAAACTTTGCAAAGGGACATTAAAAGACTGAAAGGAACCTGAAAATCCTAAAAAAAAATTTAAAATGAGGCTTTCAGAATCCAAATAATAGAACTAAAGTTAATGGTTATGGCTGAAAAATAAACCTGTTTGTTTACAGAATGAATATGCAGAGTAATTTTTAAGCACCGTCTTTTTTCTCTGACACCATTTAATTGCACTGGAACTATGATGCTGCCAAGAGGTTTCTTTTGTGTTTGTAGCTTTATTTTAATAGTTCTCCTTAGCTCCTGCCAGCTGCTGCCATGAGTCAGTGTCTGATTTTACAAGGATATGCACCAAAGACAGTATTAAATTATTATATCATTTATCTGAACAAAAAGCTAGGTTGCCATATGCAGATAGGCAAAAAGAAAGTGAAGCTGCTAAGGTTTATGGGAAGCCTTTGACTTCTATAGACAGAAATAATCATATGTTCAAGAGATAATGCAAAAATTTTTTTTTCTTCTGAAAAAAATCTATGTAGTGAGTCATTAAATACCTGCCTATTTTTTAAGAACTGCATGGAAGACAAACGGCACAGAATTAATGACAATGTGAAATAGAAAATGTCTCTTTCCCATAAATCTATGTTCTTCCACAAATGAAACACTATTGTACAATTGACAGACTCTAAATATTTTTCCCTATATTTTATACGCAGATTTAAAAACCTTGACACTGGAAAAAACTACACAAAGTGGCAAACTCCCATAGTAGACGGCCTTGCTTCTCACTGCATGTCTGCATAAAACCAACAAAAAATCTGACATTTGAATCAACTTTGAGCCTATGAAAGTCACATGAAAAAGGTACTCACTTTTTCTTTAGTCTTCGGTCCTTTTCTGCTTGTGTTCCAAGTTTGCCTAATCCCAGAGATTCCTGAGCTGCTGCCTCTGTTTCCATGTAACCTCCTGGAAAACAAACCAAACCAAATCCCACCGTATTTTCCCATAGCTCTTTCCCAGTTGTTCCCCTCCTCAACCCTTCAATCCCCCTCCCATTCGCCACCATCATCTATGTATGTTACCTTAAGCCATGACATCTGGTGTTTGTGGAGAGCATCTATCACCTACAGAAGTAAATTCTGGCAAGCATTTAGTACATATAAGTAGAGGGAAAAATTGTTTCCTCCTTGTGTTTAGCAGAAATGTCTGAGAAGAGCACCCTGATCTCCTTTGCCTGTTTTTCTTTGCCTCCTAAGGCTCAATCTCATGGTCCTAAGTAAGAAATACTCTCACCGTTTTTTAATTTTAGTTGGGAAATGTACAAATGAAAGTGTCTTCTCAAGAACTGTCTCATTAATATTGACATAATATAGCATCACTTAATGTCATAACATTAAACTCTTCCTTTTGCTCATAGAGTCTTTGATGTCGTTATCCCTGCAAACTCCCAAGCCAGAGATGACGCAAAGACTCAGAGAAGTAAGAAGCCTCCTAGGTCTCCCTGGAGGTGTCTCATAGGCACCTAATTCCCGTCAAAGTCATAGGAATGTGAATAACTCGCATAGATTGACAAGGGAAGCTTGCAGGAAGCAAGGACACCTGGACCAAAGTAAAATTGCATTGTAAACTAAGGATGTGACCGGTATTGTATGATTCATGCTTATCATACAATATGTCCACTAACGTGACTTCAAGTGCAGAAGTGGAAAGATGCTCTGTTTTATCGCTGCCTTGATTTAGATGCTCAGGGAGCTGTCAGTACAGTTTCCTGGCTCTGTCTCCACGCCGTCCTCTCATTTGCACATGTATGTGTGCAGATAGAGAGGCTGTAGCACTTTGAAGGATGCTTTCCTCCTGTGCAGCTATTCAGAAGGTGTGTAACTCGCACAGGAAGGAAGACAACAGTATGGTAAATGTTGGTGCTTGACTCTATTTGGCAACAGCAGCTTCTCATTTTTCAGCTAACATATAGCGAACATTCTAGAGTCGACACTGGTATAATTAAGAAAGCATAGTAGAAACTAAAAGATCTCTATTCTGATTCATTGATTTTAGACATAAAATAAGGTGTAAAATATCGTGAAATAGCATTGCAGCCTTTTACAAGTCATATTTACGTGCACCTCATTCGAGTGTGAATAAAACCTACTGCTGTACCACATTTATGACGCCAACTTAGAAAAGCCTGGTTTCAAGCTGTCCTTTCAAAGCAAGTGTAGTTTTAACATTCCTACATGTCTAGACAGAATTTTTCTTTAATAAAGAGACACTGACACTACTTCTGCAAGTTTCATGATGAGAATGATGTCTCCAATCACAAATACAGAAAACATGAATGTATTCTTTCCTTTACTTCATTTACATTTCAAATTTTTACAGAATATCTCATGAAATATTTCTTGCAGACTCTGGATTAAGTTTTTAATTTAGCAAGCTTCCATATCAACATATCACACCTTTCTGAGAGAGCAGCTCGCAGTATGTTAAATAGAGACGACCTAAGTGCAGTGCAATGAGGGGTTATCACAGATTGGAAAGTATTCTTGGGACAATGGACTTCACCACAAGACAAACATCTGGCCCTTTGAATAACCCAGGGTACACTGAACTGGATGTAGTGATTGTGCCTGTCGGTATTTTAGGCATGCAGATGGTCACAATACACGTTTCCTAACAAGCTGACCTTTGCATATACCATACAGATTAGCCTGGCTCGGGCAGCACTAAAAATACCTGTAAAGTATTGTTTGTTTTGGGGACTAGAATATTTAAAATGTCACATGAGAAAAATATGTAAGTGTCTAGTGTGGTATTCCCCAAGTGAGAAAAGATTGGATAAGTTTAAAATCAAGTAAATAAATAAATAAATAAATAATAAAGGAAATAAAAGGCACTCATGCTCCTTGTAACATTCTTTTGCTTTCTGCAATAATAAAATAAATCTTGAAAAATCTAGAATCTTGATTCTAAGAAAGATCTCCTAAGGCAGGAATTTGTCTTTGAACATAACACAAATGGTTTAGCAGAGATTGCAAAAGTAGCAAATTACAAAATAATGAAACTCTGGCAAGTTTAGCAGTTGAAAAGTAATAATTTCAGAGTTTTGAAGGAAATGCGGAGCAAGGAAATCTTTTGGGCAATAGCCTGGCTCTGTTGAAGGTAGTGATAAAACTGTAGGTTTCGATATTGCTTCCTAAAAATGAGTATATGTTACACATGATTTTAGAGATATTACGGAATTAGTTAAAGAATTTTTACATCTACTTAAAATGTATAATATTACTGGGATCCCTAATATCCTCTGCATTGACATGAAAAAAAGTGCTCTATTGCCAGATTACATTGCTCCTGAGACAATCTTTAAAGTAGTTATTTTATTTCTCTTCCACATTGCAAAGAACTGCAGCGAAGATCAACACGTTCATTACATCTTTGTCCTCTATGTTGCTGAGTTACTGTGAAATCATAGATTATTATGCGTAATCCATCAGAATCAATAAATTTGGCTTTATGGAATGTAAATGTGAATCAATAACACAGTCTAAAGTTATAAAATTCTCCACCAGTGCAGATGGTGGCATGCAGATGTATTTGAGAGACTCATTTAATAGATTCCGAAATACATTAAACTATGATAAATATTGAATAAATCAGTTTTATTCTTCCCACAGTGAGAAAAAAGAGAACTTAAATTGTGATTAGAAATTAGTTATTTTTTTCCAATAACACAAGGTTCTTACAGGCAGAGAGGAGAAAGGTTGAAGCATAAATGGATAATGCTCAGTTTTGGTTTTACTCTGATACTTTGACCTTAATATTACCTTATTTTGTTCTGTACAATTTTAGTGATTAGTTTGTTAGTTGTGATAGGACATGTTTTAATATGAAATTGGGGTTTTTTAAATTTTATTTCAGGCTTGCTTACATATTGCTTAAGCATTTACAGTTACTGCAAATTCTTAAAATTCTTCTATAGGTGTTGTGGTCACAATAACAGCAAAAATTTAGTGCCTCAAAAATTCATAGTATGTGACATCTTTGTGACTAGAAAAGAGCTAGTATTTCTTATTTACTGACACATCTATACAATTTGATGTTAGCACTGGCATGTGCATGTCTGCTAATCTTAATCTAGCTAAATCAGCTAGCCTAGCAATACAGACTAAGGATGTATTTGCCCATCTGGGCATGAAGACTATTAGCCTTTGCTGAAGACTGTCACTTCCGTCACTTCATCTTCCATTATTCATGCTACCTAAGGTAGTTATATAAAATTATGTTATGGGGTTTTTTTGTTGGTGTTTTTTTTTTTTTTTTTGGGGGGGTGGATTTTTTTTTGCATGTGGTATAGACATATCCTATGGAATATCACAAATGAAAATTTTTACTAGGAATGAATTAGACGAAGGTCTTAGCAAGGGAAAAGAGCAGAAGAAGTAGAAAGAAAGCAAAGTGTTGCTGTGAGCAGCATAGCTAATTGAAAGAGTATGGTGAGGACATTCAGTGATAGGCACTAGCAGAAGTTTATTGATACAATGAAATCTGAAAAGCAACTACATTTACTTGTAAGGACCTTCCAAATTCCACAGTTACACCCCTTATAGTGGTTTATTACTTACTACTTTCTCACCTCCTCTTTATTTGGATTACTTGAGAATACACTGTTAGCACTTTTACCCTAATTCAAGAGAGTATCGAAGCAGCAAGTTCAGTTGACAAGGATGACCCAAGTAATTTGTGCCAGAAGTCTCCTTTCATTTGCATCCTAACAAATATAATTGCTGATAGCAATGAAGTTTAATGGGAAGGTTCTGACAGACTAAAGAGAAAAATAAGCAAATTGAAAAACTGAAAAGAAGCAAAATTAAAAATGGAAAAATAACTGTGAAATGGTGATCTGGCTTGTTACCACTAATTCCTTACTGAGCTGTCCAAGTCGAGCCTTCTCTTTTTTACCAAACAAACGTCCTATTGAAGACTTGATTCCTTTCTTCTTGGGAGCTTTATGCAGCGAATCCTGGCTGCTATTGACACTGCCAAAACCAATGCTTTCTGGCTCCAGTGAAGCAGGCAAACTACTACAAAATGATAACAAAGAAATTAAATAGATAACATGTCAAAATTTGTAGGTATTTTTTTATTTCTTCTGAGCAGCTCTGCAAGTAATTGGTTATACTTCAGTAATAGTCTCCCCACAAGTAAAACAATCACATCCTTTTCCTTAAATGATTTAGAAACATGAAGGAATCAGGTCATTTTGGAATAGTTAAGCTACAACATGATTTGAAAAGAATAATAAGTGGTAAACCAGTGAAATATCAATACATGTTACACATATCTTACCTTCTGGCATCGTTGTGGTATGAAGAAGGAAGGGTATGAGTCATTCTGATAGCTCTGGGTGTTGGAGGAGGAGAAGTTTCACATTTGATTGTGGCTTTATCTTCACGCCCATCTTCTTCAACTACTGCAATCTAGGGGAGAGAGACTCCATGATAGCAGATTAACTTCAAGAAAGTTTCAATGTGTGCTGCACAGATTTGTCAAGTGAACTAAAGCATGTATGGGTTCAAGTGCAATTTTTTGAGCAAATTTTAAGGATTCTTATTTTTCAAGGAGACTACTGTGCAAGAGCAATTGCCTTAATATGGCAGCTTAAAGTACATATTTGAAAGAAAAGAGATTACACTTGAAGAAGAAATTAAGTCCTCTTATATCAAAGAGGTTGATCTAGTAAAGGTCTAAACATGAAAATAACCTTAGACATGAGTAGGTCTCTTGCATTAAAAAAGGATTATTCAAGTAAACAAAGTTTCACAGGGTTGTAAGGAAGAAGGTAAATACAGTCATAAACAGGATCACTCTCTCCATAGCTTGTTAACAGAATGGTCAGAATGCTTGAAAATAAGCACAAACAAAAAGGAATTTTGTCACAGTACATAACAATTTTTCTTAAATTCTGTCTCCTCTCACGTAAAGATAAATCCCATATTCAGTGCCAATTCTGTAAACAAGTTTACATTGCTCCAGAAGATTTCAAGTAATCTGACTCTGGTTCCTCCAGCAAGAACAATGGCCAAAATACATTTGAAGGCAACTCTTTTGTGTCCACACTTTGTTTTTAACTCTATTCGTTGAAGTTTGTGCTGTAGATGCTACCACTCCAATGTATTACTGGTGGGCCTTGATTCTATGGCTTAGCTGTGATCTCTGCAAGTCTTTCTAGGTAGCATTAAAATGATTATGTTCAGGAATCAAATGAAAACGAGCAGAGAGGATGCAGTGGCTGGCAAGGAACTCAGCTATCTAAATAGCAGAGAAATATGATAAATGTGCTCTCCCAAACATAAAAAAAACCCCAGTGTCATACCTTTCTCCGATGTTTCCTTAGGTCACTTGGCTTGGATTGGTAACAAAAGCAACAACAACAAAAAAAGAATAATTAATAAATCTTATTTGAGCATAACAAATGCCACACATTCCTCCTTCTCACATTCAGAAGTGGAAAGTAGAGATTTCATTCATTTAATACTATCCATTCTATATACTTGGTGTCATAAGATAAACCCTGACAAATATGTCACTCTGGGAAAGCAGCTATTTTTCTTCCAAAGTTACAATATCTCCTTCATTTTCATAAGCTTAGCAAAGAATAAGACATTGCAAGCTTATAGTAGCACTTCTTATTTTTGGATTTTTCATATAAATTCTTCCACTACCCCCAACACTGAGATTATTATTTTATTTTAAATAATTCTATCTAATATTACAAATGTAGTGGTGTCTTACCAAGTATAAACACAAAATATCATCAACAAATACAATATATATGAAAAACGAGTCTTTCCAATTATCCTGTATTCATGTGACTAGCATTTTCAGTCAATGGATAGAAATTCACCCATCTTCTGTACTGCAGCATTATTTGGCAGTAGAAGACTGCTAGAACGTGTCTTGTTCAACCTCCTCTTCATTCCTGTTTTTGGGAGATGTCAAGGAAAGCTGAAGATACTCTGCAGAACTTATTTCCTGCATGGACCTGGCCCATGAGAACTCACGCAGTACTTGCTGCTCCTCAGCCAACTCCTACAGGACCATTTGGCAATTTGTGCTTGTCCTGGTTTCAGCAGGGATAGAGTTAGTTCTTGTTAGCAACTAGAAGAACTCTATGTTTTGGTTTTAGTCTGGAATTCATTACGAGAGGAATGTTCATAGCACAATGAGACATCAAGGACTTTTCAGCTTGCTTTGTTCTGCCAGAGTGCAGGTGCACAGCAGGCTGGGAGGGAGCAAGGCTGGTCCAAAGAGCAAAGAGGGTCCAAAGGGAGCAAGAGGGTCCAAAACTCCTTTTATGATTTGAACTTAAATTTATGATTGAGAGCTAAATGGGCCAATGAAGTATTCCATACCATGCAGCGTCATGCCCAGTATATAGATGAGGGCTGACCAGAAAGAAGAGCTTTTGCTCTTCCAGGGGCTCTCACTCGGACTCTTGGAGTGCTCCCTCTCTCTCACACTCTCTTTTTGGGCCTCTTGCTTGTCCAGCATTGTGGTGTCAGGACTTATCTGTTTCGGGATTGTTAGTTGGGACTGGACAGGCCTTGGTCACCATGTGGTGTGCAATTATACTGTGCCTCATTTGTTTCTATATATTATTATCATTATACATATATATTAATATATTATTATCATTAAATTGTTCTTATCTGAACCCATGGGTCTCTTTCCCCTTTAATTCCCTTCGCCTTCCCCTGGGGGTGGGGAAGGGTGAGCGAGCGGCTGTGTGGCATTTAGTTGCCAACTGGTCTAAACCACAGCAGGGCTCTAGAGACCAGACTCCACAGGGCTCTTCCCAACTCAAAATTTCCACTTGGAGGACGTCTGATAGCCTGTTGTGTCTGTTCCCA